GTTGAAAGTGGCTTTCTATTTCGAATGTTTTGTTCGATTTTTTCGAATTTGTTCGAATTAAATTCGAACATAAAATTCGAATTGGTTCGATTATAGAACGATTGAAAACGTTCCAGAAACGTTGAAATTTGTTCGTTTGACTAAACGTAAAAATTCTCTAATTAGTCTGGAAACGGGGGACCTAATTCTTGCATTTTGTGAAAACGGGTAAGATTGGCTATAATGTAATTATCTTAATCTTCACTATCGTTACTTTTCGCCCACAAATAAAAACCCAGCGAAGCGAATCCTTGCAGCTAGATTCTAGATTACTTAGAAAAATAGTCTTTTATATATAAAAAAAAACTATATTACATACAAATGTACGAACAAATAAAAATCCAGCGAAGCGGGTCCTTGCAGCTAGTTATTATATATAATGTTAGTTTAAATAACAGAAATTTATTAATATAACATAAATATATTCAAACACGAAATTTTGGTTACGATTTCTATTATATAGCCTAAATGTCATTTAAAAGGCGTTTATTAATTAATTTAATATAGATTCGACTACGGCGCGTATCGAAAAACGAAAATAGTGTTTCTTCCGCATGCGACAGGAAATCTAATTTAAATAGCAATTTCATCGATGATTCCTATCGTGACGTCTAATTACGCGAGGCTACGTCAGCCCAATTAAATTTTGAATCGTAGTCCTACCGCTGATTGGTCGAGCCGTCGAGTTTCTTTAACACAGAAAGTTAATCATCTGTCGATCTGCCGAGTTGCTTGTTCGGCAACCGAGCCTAAATAAGTCATAAATTTTGTTCGTGAACCGAATTGTTAAAAAAAACAAGGCCTTCAAAATATGAGGTTTGATTGTATTATTGTGCTTATATGCCATCTTTTCCTATCGTTGTGATTAGCTTTTTTTGCCCTGATCTATTTTACGAACGTTAGAGAAAAAAAGTGTAACCTATTTATAAAGTCACTTATATTCAGAGACAAAAAATTAAAAATTTACTTATTACTAAATTTTAAATCATATTCAATACATGTCTGTCATTTACATCAAAATTTACAACAAAATTTATGACGAAATATTCATTCGCCTTTCAAATAATATTCCAACGAAAAATTTCTAATAAAAATTAAAACAAACATACTTTGCTACAACGTGCGCTGTTCCTATTAACGTCCTTGTTGTGATTAAAGAAAAAGCACCCTTAAAACGATTTTTTTTAAATATTGCTACCTAAATTATAATAACATTTCTTGTAAGTACAGTTGCAAGAGGTGAAACGTTTACATGTATAAACTCACCAAAAATGGAAATTCTCCTTTTTCTGCCTCCCTTCCTCCAATCATCCTGCGTTCAATTACTAAAATTATACAAAGTTTTATCAGTTAGCGACTTTCTCACTTAGAAAGACATTCACCATTATTTTTACCTCTACTTGTCGTGTTCTCATATTTTTCAGAAGCGCAGAAGTAATACTCAGCACTTAGAAAAAGCATTAATCCAATTCTGTTATTTGTCAGCATTTTAAATGAAGAAATGTGGAAACAAAAAAATACAGTTGAAATTCAATAATAAACTAAATATTTCTATTAAATTATAACTGTCTTAACAATTTAAACTAGTGACATAAATGTAAACTAAACTTTTTACTCAATTATTAAACTACAAAAATATGAAAACATACCTTAAAAAGTTTTTCATACTTGGGAAGTGAAAAGAATGTTAAACTTTATTAAATGTGCTTGATAGAACCTAAAAGAAATTTACGTCGTTTAGTCATCAGGCTAGTAATTTGACGCGTAGATAAGACACAAACCCAAAAGCAAATATTTATTACCTGCAGTGGTGATTCAGTACGAGACTTTCAGTAAAATAAACTTCTGAAAGTGAAGCGAAATTCGACTTATTTTCATTTCCAATTTCATTGAGCATTATAAATTATATTTATATTTATCAAACATTTTATACCTTATGGAAATATTTCATATTTTTTTATTTTTTGAATTTTATACAATAATTAAATTTATTTTTACTAGTTCACAACGTGAAAGAATAGCGTTAATGGTGTCAGCTACTATGAGCTTGTTTTTCAAATTACATCACAAGATATTAAAAAAAAATTATCTTTCCACCCGTTGATCTTTAATTACCAGAATTTAATGCAGTTATTATCTCTAATACACAAACCTAATTTTAGAAAGTTTGAACAAAAATCACAGGAGTTATTAAGCTTTAAATTGAATGTACAAAATCATACTTCCCACCCACACACACTCAAGCACTCACTCACAATAGCATACATATTAGTGTTGCAACGAATAGTATATTCGGCCAGGAACGTGGCCGAATAGCCGAATATTCGGCCAAACTATTCGGCTTGATTAACGCACGTACGAAAATTGGCACGCAAACCGCTTTGTGGCAAGGACTCGCTCTCTATTGGCCCGCTGTCACTACGCTTCGCCAATCGCGTTAATTCTTGGCAGTTGTAGCGGACATACAAGAGCGTCATGGCTAATATGTGATAAATGATGATATCAAATGTGGATAACAACGAAATGACCTACACGTGTAAATAACAGAAAAAGAACAGAGAAGGACCGCAAAGTGAAAATGTGAAAATAAATATGAAATTGAGTCGATAACATAATCGTACGAGTCGAGACAGCTTATTCGCGCGAAATTCGCGGCCGTCAATGCCAAACAATTGTTGTCATAGACTTCGGAAAGCTAAATGCTTGCAATAAAATTCATTTAGCGTGCACGGGCGAAAGCCTGGGCCGTTCGGGCTACTAAACTGTCTCGAATCTGTGAAATCGTAACTGCAACTTATACCGACGTCCTATCTGTCTCTTTTCTCCGTTATCACCTGGCTATGAGTCACGTAATTGTAAAATGGGAAATCTACGACGGAAAAATGACGAATCGAAAGTATCGTGAGCGAGTATTACGATGTATGCATAGGCATACGTGGACTAGAGCGATAGAGGAAAAAGAAAATATCAAATACGAGCGCTTAAAAAGAAGGATAGGTAGGGTCAAACCCTCAGATGTGCGACGATTGTCGAACGAATAGGTGTGTACGTGTGCTGATCCTTGTAATTATAAATAGTGAATACATGTGGCTAATATTATTTTTTTTTATTTTGTGCGTGTTATAATTTATAAATGAATATAAACAAACAACACTAACCCGATAACATTAAATCTAAATACCACAATGATTAATTTACTGTGTTTTTGTTATTTCTTACTCCCGTTTTTAGTTATTCAGTATTCGGCCGAATAGTGAAAAATAGGACGAATAGGCCGAATACCGAATAGTAACCTAATATTCGTTACATCACTAATACATATACTTTTTTGTATATGGATGTTATTGTGAGTGAGTGCGTGAGTGTGTTTACCCTTTACTTTTTTTTGCATGTTACGAGGTTTTAAAGTCCACTGACTCCAAAAATATAAAAATGTAGGGCGTTGTTTTGACAGATTGCCATACTTTCCTTGGTTATACAAGGGTGTATTTTTATCTAGAGACATTGAAATAACTCAATTGTATCTTATTATTTTAAAAAAAGGTATGGACAAAAGTTGTAGGGCGTCGAGGGGCCAATAAATTGGACATTTCAGATGTAACCTTGACCTTCAAGGTCATTTGAAGGGCATGTCTGTTTTTTTCAATGGAAACACATATTTTTGATCCCAGAAATGGAAAGAGCAGGAAATTTCACAACCAGAGGTATTTTTCACCTTATTGTCTATGTCAAAGATCAAAATTATTTTAAAGTTAAAATTATAACTTTTTCTAATGGGAAAGCATACTTTTTATTACTAGTAGGGGAGATCGGGGCAAGATCGGCATGTTAAGCTTTACTTAAATTTTGTGTAATAAATACTGCAGTAAACTAAAAACAAAGCTTTGCATATTGTCTATTGGAATGTTACCTTACTATAGAACTGGTTAAAATCAGTTTGGAAATAAAATAATTACAACTTTACAAGAAGAGAGAAATTGACGAAGTTGCCCCGAGTATAGGGGCAAGATCGGCAACTTCTCTCTTTTTGTAAAGTTGTAATTATTTTAATTATTTTTATTAAAGTTGCCCCTGGTATAGGGGCAACAGTAATGGGTCAAGATAGGCACGTATATAAAATTATGTTATTAACAATGTATAAGTTGGAATTCACTATCAAAACAAAGAAATACAAATCCAACACCCATTTAATATTATTACAACGAAATGCAAGTTCAAAGACATATATACATGAATAACAAATGCAAACATGTTTTCATTTATCATCTGTTTGATTTTTAGCCTTTGCTTCTAATGTGGCTTTATGTTGCCAATCTTACCCCGCTAGTCATGATTTCGAACATTAAGTACAACCCTGTGAACAGAATGCCAAGCCACGATCTGGCCACGTGAATAAGTTGAAGTTACATCCTTCTAACAGGAAAAGTAACTTTCGTTATCATGGAATTATAACAAAACCTGCCAATTCAATATAAATGGAAAAAAAATATTATATGGAATTGAACGAAAATAAAAATTTGCTTGATAATTCAACTACGCTTGTTGGAGAACAATAAAAACACTACACTCAACAAGCCACGAATAAAACTCAACTGCCTAACCTATAACCAAAGTCTCCTTTTAATTTGTTTTTAAAAAAAAGCGCTTGACAAACTTGCCCCGCCTGCCGAAGTTGCCCCGATCTCCCCTATAGACAGGGAGGTACAAGTTACATTTTTTCAGAACCTCATTACTTTGAACTCTAAACATATTAACTATTTTAGCACTATCAAGGAGTAATGATGTGGTTGTTATAGTTTTCTGCTCCCTTTGAGGTGCTTATTTTCAGTGAGTCTCTTTGCCTCTAACTATCATAATGCTTGATTTCTGTGAGTCACTTTAATTCTCATCATTTTTGAGATGTTGGTTTGGGGGAAAAATTTATAACAAATGTTCAAAATGATGCCCTTCCACTTTAATGCATTTATTGAGCCACACTTATAATTATCACGCTTGAGATGACCTTCAGAGGTCAAATTTGGGGTACTCAATGTCATGGCTGATTTTGAAATTTCTTGTTGTTTCCATGTAAATGTAACTTTTACTTCCCTGCCTATTCCAGTAGGGGAAACTTGCCTAATTCGTTCTTGCGCCTAATTCGTACTTCGTTTATATCTTGACTCCCGTAATAGCTATTAGTGTCTCTAGTAGCAAAAGAAGTAAATAACAATCGGTCGCTTATATCTTCACTCCCGTAATAGCTATTAGTGTCTCTAGTAGCAAAAGAAGTAAATAACAATCGGTCATATTACCATCTGACAGACAACACGCTGTTACTCTGCTCCCGACAAAAATATTGAAAAGGAAAGTTTTTTTCAACTTTTTCTGTAATATTTTTGCACATTTCGTACGAAATTTCTTCAAATTGGATGGTATGTAAGTTTTTTAACTATCTGTGATGTATTAGTGCGTATTTTTGTGATTTCATCTGAAGTGATGAAACATGCATATCTGTTATCAAATTTTTTGGCGACTAATGTAAAGTTTGTTCGACTCTTGCGCCTATTTCGTACTCGAGGCATGTTCTTAACACGTACTGGTACGATTTAGGATAACCATTTTAGATGAATGTCACAATAAGCTATTACCGATTCGTAAACTTATATTTTTCTAAGTTTCTGATTTAAAAAATTACCGCAAAAGTTCAAAACAAATTAAAACTTGATCGTCTTTAATATTAGAACAACATGTCAAAAAGAAAATATAATTCTTGGAGTAAAGAAAATATGAAAGAACCGATTAAAAAATATAATGACGGGACCTTATAATTTAACGAAGTTTTAGTGTATATAATGTACCGAAATTGACATTTAGACGACAGTTACAAGAACTGAATACACATCAAAGAATAGACTAGATAGGTCATTTTTCATATCACTAAAACTGAATTTTAGTGCTGCTTGAGCATCGTGGATGCAAAGCATCCTGGTTCCTTAATAAAGCATATCCTCGAGCCGTTTGCATGAACACAGGAATGCATGGCTTCGAATCTTGCGGATTGTAGCCTCGTAATCGCTTTAAGATCGGGGATGAGGAATATGTTGTTCTTGACGAAGATGCTAATCTAAGTGAATCGGCAGAAGTCTCCCAGAATCTGGCAACTGAAAGGCAGCAATAACAAACAGATACTTTAACGTGTGTGGCACAATCCAATCAGACTACTGAGCGAGAACAGACTGGAGAAGTTGAGTCCCCACAACTTCCTGAAATACCGACAACTCACCCTTCGGAAAAACAGCGAGATCAATGTCTAGAAGAGAAAGCGAAGGAATGTTCTTTATGTATGAAAGTAAACATTTCTAATACAGAGACAGTTCGAGCGACATTTGAAATAATTTCTCCACTACGTGGTATTCTTAGAATTACAAGAAGAAAAACGTATGAAAGAATCTTGGTTCGAAGAAAAGCAAAACTACTAAAATATCACAAAAGGAGAATAAAAAAACATGAAGATGAAAATATCAGTTGGTACTGTAAATTATGCCAAGAAGACATAAAAGAAAGTATGATCAAAAGCACACAATATGAGATACGGGTACATGAACTTTGCGCAGGAACCAATAAAAAACAACGGATTACAACTGCGATGACTGCCAAAAATTGGCGAAGACCATCCGCCGAATTTGTTAAGAGTTAATATACACACGTATTAATACATTATTGATAAAGATTTTTATTCTTAAGACTGCAAACCAATGATAGGATGTCAAAGTACGATTTAAGAATATATCAGTACGATTTAAGACGAATGTTCCTAAATCGTACTTTTTTAGTGTTTTTTTAAATTGTTTATTTCTCAGAAGTTTATAAGATTTATGCTAAATTTTACTATGGTAGTGATAAAATATTTCCCAAATAAAAGTTACTTAAAATAAAAAATAATTTGTGTTTATTAATTTCGATAATATGATAGTTTTTTCTTAAGTGGTACGAATTAGGCAAGTTTACCCTAGTAATAAGGATGGTTTCCCATTAGAAAAAGCTCATAATTTTCACCTTAAAATAATCTTGAACTTTGACCTAGACAATAAGGTCAAAGATACATCCAGTTGTGAAATTTTCTGCTCTTTCCATTTCCGAGGTCAAAAATATGTGTTCCCATTGAAGAAAAACAGACTCGACCTCCAAATGACTTTGAAGGACAAGATCAAGGTCACATCTGAGGTCACCAATTCATTGGCTTTTCAACATTCTACAACATTAGTCTATACCTTTTTCCACAATAATGAGATTTAATTAAGTTATTTCAATGTCTCAAGATAAAGAATACGCCCTATATATATATATATATATATGTAACAAAGCTGAAAAGGTAGAAATGAAACCATGTACTAATGAACTCTAATAAGTACACTACTGAATTAATTAAAGTAGTCAAAATGTATTAAAGAATATAAAAAAAGACTTTTCGTCATTACAGTCAACTATCTCACAGTCACCACTGACAACCAAACACCTTTTGTTTTAGGCTACGCTTCTGTAAAAAGATATGTTAATAGGCTAAAACAACTTCTTTTGTCGACGGTAATGTGAAAACAAAGTTTTTTTGTAGTCATCAATATATTTATAACATTTAAATAATTGTTGGTCATTTTAAATTAAACAAGTGTTGAATTGAACTTTAGGTTTAGGGAAAAGTGTGGCCCTCTTCTCTAAACTTATGAGTAACCTATACAAATGACCATGTTTAACTGCCTTTATTGCACACTCTAACTTTAGATGTCATATTTGAAAGTGTCTCCCGACTAAGAAGACCGAAACGACACTTTCGATTAACTCAATGTGTCTGCCTCAAACTGTCTGAATCAAAAGTAAATTCAGAAAAATACATTTTAAATACCTAATTACAAATATGTTTATTTCATTTAATTCTATAAGTTGTTTCTTTAATATTTTGATAGACTTTACTTCATTATTTAGTAGTAAAACATTTCAATCTAATATCAAAATCATTACTGCAACGGTATTTTATGCTCTAGCAAATACAGAAAAATGATTGTGCGAATGTCATTAACACAACACTACAGCGATAAATTGATTTTCTTTCTAATAATAACCTTGAAGTAGATTCATATTAATCGAAGTACAGTACATGAAATCGTTCATTCACACAATGGCTAATGTTGTGTGCAACCAGTTACCGTATTTTGACGAGTATAAGTCGCACTTTTTTACTACTTTTTAGGGCTCAAAATCATGGTGCGTCTTATACTCGACAGGTAACCATTTTTACAGTGAAATTATCTACAGTAGTGGTCCACTCTAGGGACCAACATGTGCAGTGATCCGTTAAGCACATGGTCCCTCAACCGAATGGCTAGAGTACCTAGATTATCAGAATAGCGACACACGACTCATCGCCGCCATGTTCAGTCGACTGTCATCGCGTAACCTCTGAGTTTACATTAAGAAATGACGATTATTTCAGTTTAATAAAGGTATCGATTCGCCCATCCGTCAGATTCTTGAATAAAAACACGAATAAAATGCATCTTTTTAATAAAATAACGAATATGCAATCTCCCATTAAAAAAGTTTTTTTTCTAAATTTTCTGTTTCAAAATAGTTGTGCGACTTATACTTGACAGCGACTTATACTCGTCAAAATACGGTATTACACAAAAATAGGCATTTCATTAAAATCCGCTGTCTAGTAAAAAAATATTTGAATGGTAATTGTCAGGTTACACATTTGATAATGGTAATTTTGTATTTCAAAGTGTAGCAGCGAGTTAAGTAACTTTTTCAGTTGTTATGAGATGTTATTTTAAAAAATAACTTTTATATTATTAATTATAATAAATTAATTAAATTATGTGTGGCACCATCTGTCATAAGAGTTTGCTGTAAAATGTATCTATATTTTTAATTATAATGAAACGAAAAACGCTTAATTTTGAGAGTAGAGATGTGTTTATAAAGAAACTGTAATAGCTAACAACGAGTAAAATCTCTATTAAGTGCAACCCCACTGGAGATTTGACACGTGACTGCCTGTGTCTCATCACCTTTCGGGTTTAATCACCAATATTTAATAGCATTAATGTTTGCTATACACAAGCTAGCGTGAGAAATTTCTATTCTTAATACAGTAGAACCTCGAAAACTCGGCCTAATGTGGACCGAAGGGTGGCCGAGTTTGTGAAAATGCCGGGTTATCGGGAATGGGGTTAAAAAAAATAAGTACGAGTGTTTCCTCAGAAAATACTGTACTGTACTTGTATGTATTGTTTACTTGAGAATATAACAGAGAATAAACTGCCCAAATACCCTTAAACAAAGGAAAAGTACGTCCTTTATGAAGGCATAGAGCCTTTACTACATGAAAATGAAAATTAATGAATACACTGTGTACAGTAATTTACCTGATAAGACAGACCTCAGAAAAATACTTTATGAGAGCTTTTATACTTTTATAAAGCTGTCTATAATGAAAATTAGTTAACTAAGGATTTTTTTTGCCCTGCCAGGGTGTGGCCGAGTTATCCGGAGTGCCGAGTTATCGAGAGCCAAGTTTTCGAGGTTCTACTGTATTTACCCCATCCTCATATATCACATTAAATTGGTTTTCTCTTTTTCTTTTAGTTTTTTTTTCAGTTAGATTCTGATTTTCCTTTCATTACTTTATTGTTTCCCTGTTAACTTGTTTTAAGACCAAATAATGGTAGAGAAGCAATAATAAATAGTCATAGATAACTTCAGCCAATAGACTGTAGCCAATAGAGGATTAGTGAAAACATTAATTTGCCAAATTACTCAAAAAACAATTGATATCTAAAAAACATATCACATGTAAAAAGTTATTGCGCCAAGTAAAAATTATGGCAACCGAAATGAAAGTCCAAAATACTTCGGAGTTTCTCTTTGCCAAAGATAATTTTGGTGCTTCGACGTTTTCCTGTCTCATAATATGGAAAACGTTTTCATAATATGGAAAAGCATTAAAGTCAAGTCAAATTCGACCATTCGTGTTTTTTGCAAATTATTACGTATTGTGACAACAAAAACCCAAAGAAGTAGAAACAAAACCGGAAAAAAATATTATGCATATGTATCTGTGATGTCTAAGTTTGTGTTGGCGTCTACTTCGTTTAATATCTCGGGATGGTTTAACTATTAAAAAACTAAATTTAGCTTGGTAGCTTGTGTATGAGTGGCATTACTGCTATAAAATTTTGATGGTTAACTGTCAATTGGATGGGGAGATACAAGTAAGTAATGTGTGATATCTCGAGGTTTTACTTGTTACGAACAACTAACTTTTTATACCACCTATCTCTATCCTCAAAATTAAGCTTTTTTCAATTTTATAACAATTAATTATATAGAGTTTTTCTACAAATAAAGTATTATAAGCGATTGCGCCAAACGAAATTTTAAATTATTTTGTTGGAAAAGTTATGGGCCTCGTTTACGAATTTTTTGTTATTGTTTGCACTTCTCCTGCTTGCTGTGGTAACATGGTGAAGCTGTTTAGAAATAATTTCAAAGACATTCGTTGTTTCTCTCACACATTGAAAGCCATCCAGACCACTGAGATGTACTGTTCCTAAACGAACAGACAGCGAGACAGCTACAAACGATTTTCTACCTAGAATCCGACGTAGAATCATGGGTGTAGGATAAAAAACTACGCACCGTCGTTTTTTATCCGACACCCATGTGGACAGTGGCTAAATCGAATCCGTATTTAATCCCTAAAGACTGGTAGTCGGCATGGGCTGGCTAGTGAAGTTCACTGGGTTTTCTTCGCGGCGATAACACTGGAATACAAACAAGTTCTCCCTGAACACCAACTCGTCAATTCCCCGATTTGCAGATCGCTTTGGTGTTGCACTATTTAATACCAATCAATCAATACATTCACGCATTAAAAAACTCATTTGCGTTTTTATGTGACTTACAAGCTACTCAGGGACAATTTCTTCGAATAGCTAAAAAATACAAAATATAAAGGTTAAGATATTTTTTTACCAATGCAAAGTCAGTAGAGTATTGCGATGTTTTCTGATTTTTCGTTGAATAAAGTCAGTACTGTGGCGTTGGAGATTCTGTCTCCAGCAATCGAGTGGTGCTGCATAAAGAATGCAATGTATGTCCACCTGGACAATTTCAGACAGTGGACAGTGCTGTCAGGGTTCCCTCCAAATTAAAAATACAAGTACAAGGTAAAACAGATTATAAATACCTTCTTAGGAATATATTTTTACGATTTACTTCTATAAGTTGTTTCTTGAAATTTTTGATTTACTTCATTCGTTAATATTAAAGTTCAAGAGACCGATATCAAAATCAGCGCTGCAGCAGGTCATTTGAAATAAATATTTAGTTCTGATGCAACTACAAAAACATGTTCGTGTGTATGGCATTCACGCCACACCACAGCGATGAAGAGATTTCGTTGTTACTCCAAGTCTTAAAGTAGATTCAAGTAAATAGAAGTATCTAAAAGTTACCGATAAATGAACTTGAGATAGGATTGGATTCTGTTTCACATCATATAGTCATTACACTATGAACACTTAGCAGTTTATAACTAGTGTTGCTCATAATAATATCTTTAACCAGAAATTGTCAGATGGATTTCGTGATGATAACTGTGAATGACCAAAATCTATTTATGAGTTTTAATTAAAAAAGGGCTGCAGTGCCAAATTCTATACTTACACCTGTGTGTATGTTTATAGTAAGCAAATAGTTCTTACTTATATGATCTGACTATATTTAAACTTACCTTTATAAAAGTATCGATATTCTTTCACGTCTGGGACAATGATTTTAAAAAAAATGCTATATTATTGCTCTGGAGAATAACTAAATAAATAAGTTCAGGAAATCGTCTATATATTAACATAGAAATGTCACGTGACACAGATAAAATTACGGTTATAAGAGATAAAAGAATTTAACAGTATAACATTACATAACACAATAAACAAGACAGAATAACTATACAATTACAAAATATGTAGTGCTAGTGCAAGAAAATTTTAAAGTAAGAAGCATATATTTAAGTAAGACTATTGTCTTACTTAATTTAAATGTATGCTTTTCATATAAAACGAACTCTGTTATCGGCTTAATTACTTATCGCTTACTAAATAAAAGCACCACACACGTATCAAGTTCTCATTGTCATTGTTGACTCGGTAGATTAAATTTCCATAATAGAAAAGTGTTATTTTAGAATTATAAACTGATAATTATCAACCTGATATTAAATGTAGTATACGATTTTAGTAAAAATACTGAATAATATAAATACAATACATTTATTTGTAAAATATATTTTTTTCTAATATCCTGAAACATCACCTTCTATCACAAATATAATACATCTCACACCGTTCATAACATGAAATTCAGAAAAAGAAAGAATATTTAAATGTGATTATCGCAAATAAAATTTTGAAAATATAAAATATTTTTCAAGCAATTTTAGTTTTATATTTGTTAGATTATGCAATATTTTACTCGTTCAAAGCACTCACGAAAAAAGAACGTCACTGATGTTAGAAGGCCCTGAAGACGACACACCAGAAATATTTCCATCATTTATCGTGTGTTAAAGAGTAATTATTGAGTTATACGAATAAGGTAATTGCAGTTGAATATTTAAAAATTTTTAATGAAGCCTGTCAACAACAGACATAGCATAGAAAATGTTATTCACACGTATAAACTCGACTTCCTTCCAACAGACTGAAACACCCCAAGAATTGTAAGAGAAAACGATCTGTTTCGATATTTTGGGCTTAAATTTTCAATTTCCAGCCGACCTAGTGTGGGCCTGGCCGAAACCAAAATGGGCTTGCTAAAAATAACTAAAACTTTTTAGTATTTACAAGTATAAAAAGAGTTATTAAAAAGTTCTTTCTACGTAATGTAGCCGAATTTTTTCATGTTGTAGTGCACGAAGATATTGGTACATGTTGCACATATGAAAGAATGAAGAATAAAATATTCTGTCAGAATGTATTAATAACATTAAACTGAACACTTATAAGAACTAAATATTTGGTAATAGTAAATCAAGTATTCCACTCTATTTACAGAGACATTCAGCAGTCCAAATACAACAATAACTAGTAATAAGACATCTTAGAACATTTACAAAACATTTGCGTACGAAAATTAGTACCAAAACTCACTACTATAGCGATTTTGCTGCTGCAAGCAAGAAATATTTCATTTCTTCGAAACGTTTATATTATACAGAGATATAAGCTTGCAGGGCAATGTTCAATGTGTTACCATCTAAAATTCTGAAGGCAAAGGGTGTTGTTGGTCGACTGTAATGCTGATTTGCTACACTTACATTACATTAAAAGAGTAGAGAGGTTGTCTGTATATGCACAGACTTTACCTCTAAGAAATTAAAAGTGTTGAAATTGAAATCAGAAGAAGAAGTGATAGTAAGCAGGGAGGGAAAGAAAATAGGGAAAGATTGAAGGAAAGTGTCGGATCATTGAGCGTCTGCATCAGAATAGTTGAGCAAGTAAAATACATTGACAAGACAAAATATGTTCAGTAAACAGTATAAAAACAATCATGACAAGTTTGCGCGTGCGAGTTAATGTGTACAGCAAAGGGGGCAACAGATACAAAGTTTCAACAATTACAAAGTATGCTGTAAATTGGGTTGACAAAGAGATAAAACATTATAAACTTTAGCATTAATAACATTGAAGAATCTAGTAGATATAAACCCAGCGGGTCTAATTTGCATATGCCAGTACAGTCAAATCGCGGGTTGAACAAATTGGGCGAGTAGCCGGCCTACCTTAAATGATATCAGCCAGTCTATTATTGGTCCAGATGTGGGATGTGGCCGTGTCACTCATCTCGCTGGCTACTGGAATTCGTGGGCCTGAGTTTTTTTGTATTGCGTATGAAATTCTTCATTTTCGTCCATAGTTTTTTGTTATCAAGAATGTCTGCAGGATTGGGGGGGGCCAGTTGAGTCCTGTTTGGAGGCATTCTTGGAAGAGTTCTGCACGTTGTTGGTTGTATTTGTTGCAGTTGAAGAGAAAATGTAGCGCATCGTCTTCACTCTGTCCATCACAATCGCAGGTGCTATCGAACTGCTTACCAAAACGGTGCAGGTATGATGCGAAGTTCCCGTGTCCTGTAAGACACTGAATTTGCTACACTTGTCACATGCAGTGAGAAACTGTTTCGATGCTGCCTAATTTGAAATTTTCCCTTTACAGACCACACTTTTAAAGGTTGAAAGGATCGTGGATCATACCTCGATTAGGGTCAGACTTAATGAAGATTTTACTCGTTATTAACATTTACAAGTTTTTATAAAATTCATCTCTATCCTGAAAATCAAGCCTTTTTCTATTTTATAATATCTAAAAATATAAAAATTCTTTATACTTCTATGTTCTTATTCTTTTAAATTTCTGTATATATATCCTGTTTACTTGAACCATGTTTATTAACATCGTGTTAGGACTTATTATACTTGTGTAGTTTCTGAATAGCAAAAGAGGAAATCATAGTCAAAGTCGAAACAAAACATATTTATTTTTACCTGTCATATTAATAAACAAGGTCAAAGTAGACTGGATATATACAGAAATTTAAGTAGATTAAAACAAACTATAGCGTGGGTCGTTGTTCGTTATACTGAAAAAATGTACGTTGTATGATAATTGTATTGACTATTCTATAGTATGTGCAATGGTCAAAGTGTAAATACTGCTAATTATTAACACGGACAAATCTACATAGGGGCTAATAGGGCTTAATTAAGCCCTGGGTCTCCAAGTGTGAAGGGCCCACAAAAGTCGAATTATCATAAAGTTTTATTACCTATCCATTAACAATAACCACTTATCTTATACTAAAAAATACTTAATAATTTAAAATTTTTTATTTTAATATATTAAAAATTTTGTTTGTTTATACATTTTTGTTAATAATATTTCTTTACTTCTTGTATTTTTTTAATATAAGTTGTGAAGTTTGTCATTTAACACCATTTCATAAATAAATATATTTCAACTCTGACTTTGATGTTAATAAATATTATAAATTTCATTACCCCAATTTTTAATCTAACAGAAAATACGGCCATTTGGACTTAAATAAGACTCCCCGAAAAAGCTATATCCTCACTTGATTATTATTATTTAATTGTCGAATTTGTTTTATTCTGTTTTATGATTTACTTAACACCTTATTTCTTCATCAGGTGAACCAATCAAAGTTCACGATTTCCCCCATTTAAAGTTTGGTTACTCAGTCATGTATCACCTGAGGTTAAGACGGAGCGAAAACGACACAAATATGGCGTCGAACAATACTCACATGACACACGGGAGTTGTCTATTACAAAATATTACCGAATCGAGGGGAAAAATTCAATTTGGTCTCTTTGTATTAAGGTAGTTTGAAGTATTTAATATTTATAATTTTATTCTTATATAATAACCAGGTTATATCATTTAAATTTTAAAGAAAATTATTACATTTCTGAAAATGCAATTTAGTTATTTGAAATTTTTTCATTAAATTAAAAATCTGACATAAAAATTACGTCACGCGTGACGTTTTGTTCTGAAGTCAGTTTAAAATCGTAATTAGACATTATTACAAAATGAACAGAAGTTAGTATTTTGTTATATTAACATTTCTGTTGATTCGTTACATGTTTTAGCCACTCTTACTATTGATAACATAAATATAAAAATTTAAATAGTTAACAGTTACAAATTAAGCCCGAGTTAGCTTCCAAAAACTTTGTTACTGTTAAATTTTAAAAAATGTTTTAGATAATTAAATAATTTTTATTGAAAACAATGTTGTTACTAACGTTGATGATAATGAATCTAAAATTTCTTTTGATAACACAGATTCCAGTGTTTCCAGAATTTATTTGTGAACAGTTAAAATTAGCTAACCAAACACGCAATAATAGATATTACGAAAACATATTTGTTGCTAAGTTACATTCATTCATTCATCTTTTACATAAAACATTTGTTGCAAAGTAAATGTTTTTTCTTCTCCTCCTAAATATAAGAAGATCGATGTGATAGTTCAGTGTTTTAGATTATAATATTAAAAGAAGCTTACAATATTTAAAAGATAATGGAAATCGAAAAAATAGAGATATACAAAAGTAAAGTGAAGAACCGCTGTTTAAATGAAAAGGATGCAAATACATTACCAACAGGATGGAAATACAAAATAAAAAAAGGTATGGGTTTCAGTAATCCATAAAAATAGAAACTGGAGGTTATAAGAAATTATTATATTGTAATTTAGACGAATGAAAAAATTTATTTAATTTTTGATAATATGTAGCACGTGTAGTGACATATTTTATTTATTTATTTATTTACAAAAAGTTGTTAACTTATTTTGAAAGATCCAAATCAAAATAAAATTCGAACGAATGGTTCCATTTTGGAACGATAAAGGAAAACCCGAGGATGGCCTATCTAAATAGGATGAAAACGTTTGAATAAAGAGAAAAAACTCTGCAAGTAGAATTCAGGTGTGTTCATATATTATAATTAATATTGCTGAGAAGGAGAGACAGTATTGTACTTATATATTTATGAAATTCAAAAATGCATAATAACGAGTCATTCTTGAATTTTTAGCATATAGTAATAGAAATATACATGCTGCATTTTAAGAAAGTTAAACGTTTTTACTCATCTTTCTGTCCCTAAATTACTTCGAAACTTTTAATCGATAAACACTTGAATGAAAGTAAATGCCGTATTTATTGAGCGTGTGAACAAGTTGATATTTAATTTGTATTTATATGGAATATATTGTTTAGAAGTTTTTAGCAATAAATAATAAAAAATGAAATAAAACGCCGTGTTTATAATGAACATACTAAGTACTGACAAACATGTTTTTGCGTTTAAAATAAAATTCCTAGAATAATTTGCTTTTCCATAACTTTTTATTTTTGAAATTTTCATGTTGTTAAGGCATTAACCCATTTATTCCAAAAACGTTGTCATTTGATAATAAAATGTATATAATTTCTTACAAACAATGTTAGAATCGGAGTTTAAGCGTCGGAGCTTAAACAGGTTTCCGACAACGGGAAAATGAGTCCCGCTCATGATAACGATTTAGGAGGGCAAAACAAAATAAAAAGAATCGAGTCGGAGGTCGCGGTTAAGTCGATAAAGTGTTGGCCATGTACGATTAAACAAGTCGGAGTTGGGACACCAGAGAGGTAAGTCGTGTTTTTCTAGTGCTGCAGTAAGGAAAGTTTTTCTAAGTTTTAGTCTTTAAGCCTAAATCTAGGCTTAGCTAGCTTAGCTCTGTGTTAAGGTATAGGGAAGTAGGCCTAAGTTAGTCCTAGCGGTCGTGTTAGGCTTAGGGTTGCTAAGCTTAACTTTTTCACCACTTTTATTTGTGGAACTTTTGGTTTTTGGAGTGGCCGTCCTCGCTCTCCCTGCAGCATATAGGCAGCCAACACAAGTACTTCTGGTGTCACATCAGGCTATATCCATGTAGCGTCGTGCAAGCTTCAAGACCTGTGCACCTGTAGCGTCAGTCAAGTCATCAGGGCTGGATACCTGTAGCGTCAGGACAGTCTCAACAGTCATCGCCTGTAGCGTCGCTTCGCTGGAACATTGTTTTGGACAGAAGGACGCCGCTTTATACCGGTAGGTCACTGCTATTTCACTAGCCAACCAACCTTTTCCCCTCTGTCTGAGTAAGACGTTGTCTTCTCGGACAGAGTCTTTTGCCTGTGGCATCTTTCCGCCTGACAATTACACCACCCTACACTCTCTTGGTTGGCTCTTACACACTGTACATCTATAATGTCATCAAGAAGTCAACAGCTGCACTCTTCAGAAGACACTATTTTGGACTGTACTGTAAATGTGTCGTCGCTGGAGGATTCCATCTTAAATGAGGCCAATCAACATCTGCTGAAGATCCTCGACTTACTTCCGGAGAAGTATGGCAATATTCGTACTGAAGAACGGAAGGAAGTACGAGACCGGGTTACTCGTCTTTACTCGTGCATCGGCCAATTTCATGGGATCCTAAAAGAAGTAAGATCCAATCGTTCCCTGCACCCTGCTCCGCCTCCTACTACTGCTCCTACCCCATCAGCTTCCTACGCTGAAGTCACAAAGTTGAACACTAAGCCTAGCTCCACAACTTTGGCAATAACTAAATCTTTAAAAAGCAAGATAAATAGTGAAGGCACAGGTGGCAGTTTTGCTGTCTTACTCTATCCTAAATCTGAAGATGATGGCCAATCCACCGACATGAAACGAATAGAAAGCGAAATAAAAAAGAGGATAAAACCACATGAACTTAAAATAAAGGTCAAATCGGTTAGACAAGTGCGAGGAGATGGCATATGCTTCCGCACTGACAGCTACAAAGAGGCTGAAACTCTGTCAGACGCAATCAATGACCACCCTGACATAGCCAAAAAAGTCCAGAGCAAAATTTCAGAAGGTAGGAGACCTCGTGTGATTCTTACCAATGTCCCCATAGCAGTAAGTGAAGAGGAGATTATCCCAATGATGTATGAACAGAATGAGATCGTACAAAACATGACCATGGATGAATTTTCTAGTTCCACTAAAATCAGCACTGTTCTCTTTCGTAATAATAACAAAGAAAACTGCAGGCATATTGTAATTTCAACAACGCCTAACCTTAGAAATCTGCTCGTCAAAACGAAACACATAGCCATCCAGTGGGCCAAGATCTATGTAAATGACTACATCCCATTGGTCCGTTGTTATCAGTGTTGTGGTTATAACCACTTATCCACAACCTGTCCAAACAAGCAAAGGTGTAGCCATTGTGGAAAGGCACACAGGTTTAGAGAATGCCGGAAACTGGACGACGATCCTTGCTGCATCAACTGCAAAACCCTAAACAAGGACCTCCCGGAATATAGTAGACATGACACCTGTCATAATGCTTTTAACCCACAGTGCCCAATCACAGAAAGAATGAAGGCTCAAACAATACGCCAAACCAATTATGGGGTATAACCAGAAAGAAAACAATTTGAGGTTAATCCAGATAAACCTTCAGAAATGTAAGGCAGCCACTACTGACTCTTTTCAACAAGCCACCAACAGGAAAACTGACATCATGGCCATCCAGGAGCCATATACCTTCCAGAATAAAATTGCAATGTTTGGTAGCTCACGGACAATTTATTATCAAGAACCCAACAATCCTCCCAAGACTGGATTTGTGATCATAAATGATAAACTTGACGTCCAACTCCTTACTCAACACAGCAACTATTACTTTACCACCGTCAGCCTTACCTTAGATAACTCTACCTACATTCTTGTGTCATTCTACTGTTCTCCCTCAGAAGACTTAGCTTATCCTCTGGATCTCTTAGCCACTTCAATTCAACAGCTTCAGGACCACCCGATTCTAATATGTGGCGACTTCAATGCCAAGTCTCATACTTGGCACAGCCCTGTGGAGGACCCGAGAGGGTATCTGGTCAAGGAGTTTATGGCGCAACACCATCTAGCCTCCCTCAACACTAGTCCTCTCCCGACTTTCTCCTCTACGAATGGAAAAAGTTGGATCGACATCTGTATGGGCTCAAGAAAACTTACCAACAAGCTCTCCAGATGTAATACCCTTAGTATCCACTCCACCAGTGATCATAGCTTCATTGAGACAATAATTGATCAGTCTACTCCAATACCGAAATTCTGCATAACACAAAGCACCAACTGGGACCTCTACTTCCAACTTGTTCAACTTAACTGGAATCCCAGTGACATCGCTCACATTACTCTACCTTCTGAAGTCGACAGTGTTGTGAACAGTTTAACTAACACCATTCACAAAGCTTACCACCAAGCTACGGTAGTTAAGACTGTCAAGCGTTCTGCCCCGTGGTGGAACATGGACCTTAACAACCAACAGAATACCCTCAGGAAAACTAAAAAGAAGTTGCGAAAGGAAACAGACCCAGGCAGAAAACAAGAGTTACGTATGAGGTACACAACCCTTCTCAGGGAGTACAAGACATCTATTAACAAGGCTAGGTCGCAGGTCTGGAGACAGTTCTGCACAACTGTGGGTAATGACAACCCTTGGTCCACTCCCTTTTATGTGGCTGCGAAGAAAGGGAAAAGGCTTGAAGTCCCTCCATCCATTCAGATCAACAACACTGACTACACCCAGTCTATCACTGAGACCTACCAGCACATAATCAATGAGCTTTTTCCTTCTGACTCTATTTCTACTGACAAGCACTACCACAAAGAGATAAGGGAGAGCCTTCTAAACAGCTATAATGAAACCAACGACATCCCGTTTACCTCCCTGGAAATTGCTAAAGAATTTCATAAATTGAAGTTGAAAAAAGCTCCAGGCCCAGATAAGATCACCGCTAAAATGGCCAAGATTGCCTTTCAAGCAATCCCCACCACCTTCTGTATTTTGTTGAACAGGTGCCTACATATTAATTACTTTCCTGCTGCCTGGAAACAGGCCACAGTCAAGTTGATCCCGAAAAACAAAGACCTTATTCCCACTACTGCCTCGGACTTTAGACCGATCTCTCTTTTGTCCGTAATTGGTAAGGTCCTAGATGCTCTTCTAATAAACAGGATCATTTATCACTATGAAAATAATGGTATAATGGACAAGAAGCAGTATGGTTTCAGGAAATGCAAAAACACCATCGCAGCCATTGACAACCTAAAGACCCGGATTACAAAGGCCCGTGAAGAAGGCAAACACAGCCTCATGGTTACAATAGACTTTAAAGGGGCATTTGATCACGCATGGTGGCCGGCCATTCTTACCAACCTCAAGAACAACAAGTGCCCTGGCAACTTATATAGGTTAACTAACAGTTATTTACAGGACCGCAGTATCCAGGTGGATACTGGTAATAACACCTACCTTCAACAGAATATTTACAGAGGCTGCCCCCAGGGATCAAAATCTGGACCATATCTCTGGAATGTTATTTATAACGACTTACTAAAACTCCAAAACAGCATCCCCAAGGAATATGAGGCTCACATACAGGGGTATGCTGATGATACGGTTCTATTGCTCAGCCATGTGAACAATGAAGTCCTCCAGGAAAGGATAAACAATACACTGAAGCTCATATCTAACTGGTGTGAAAAAACTAAGCTAATAATTAATTATAAGAAATGTGAAGTGATTGTTTTCCCGAAAGGGAACATCCTTAAGAAAGGTCCTAGCATTAAGATCAACAACATCAAGATAAAGAATCACACGGCTGTTAAATATTTGGGCATAGTTATGGACCAGAAACTGAACTGGACAGACCATGTTCACTATGTCTATGAGAAAGCAACGAAAACTGCCCAGGCCCTAAAAACTATTTGCAGGAACTGGTGGGGTTATGGCCCTTTGACAAGCAGGACTCTCTATATAGCGGCAATTGAGCCTATCATCACATACGGAGCAGAAATTTGGGGCTCAGCGGCCACCAGAGTACATATTCGTAGGAAGCTCCTGTCAATCCAAAGGCTGTTAGGTATCAATGCTGCCAAAGCATACAAGACAGCCCCCACTGAGGCCCTTCTTGTAATTAACCGGACTTTGCCCATTGACCTAAAGGTCAAAGAAATTTTCTTAAAATATAATCTCGACAAAGTGGCCAAGAAAGAGACCAGCCTTGAGCATTTTAACAACATAATAGCAAAAGAGAAGCACTGTGAGGATATCAATTCTCTTGCGGAGCTTCTCATCTCCAATGGTTTTGACAAGCATTATGACTACTACCCCATCCACCCCAGTTTTGTCCCATCTTACAGCCTCGACAACAGCTACAATGAGAACCACAACATCCATATTTATACTGACGGGTCCAAGGCTCCTGAGGGGGTGGGCTGTGCGGTCGTAATCTACAAGGACCAGCAGTGCCTATATCAGGCATGCAGGAAATTAGCTCCGCACTGTACCAACAATCAGGCGGAGTCTCTTGCCATCTACCTTGCCATAGATTGGATTCTATCTAATCAACACAACTGGAAGAATCACAGCTACGGAATATTTAGTGACAGCAGGATAGCAATCCAACAGATCATTAAACTTAACTCCACCCTCCCCATTGTTAATGACAGCATCCGCAAGCTTCAAGAACTTACGGCTCTTAACATCAGGGTGGACTTTCATTGGATCAAGGGTCATTCAGGGATCACGGGGAACGAGCGGGCTGATCTTCTTGCTCGGAAAGCACGTACTTTGGCCTCCACCACTTCTTACACTGGCATCAGCAAAAACTACGTCAGGAATGAGATACACAAGATTATCCTCAAGCTCTGGCAGTCCCGCTGGGATAATGGGGACACGGGAAGGCTCACCCATAGCTTTTTCCCATCTCCCACCGACAGTATGCACGACCCACGCTACACCACCTTCCAGCTTACTCAACTCCTTACAGGTCACGGGAATTTAAACTCCTACCTCAAGAGGTTTCTCAATAAGACTGACGGTCAGTGTAACTGCGACCTGAAGGAAGAGGAAGAGCCTGTGCACGTTATCTTCCACTGCCCTTTCCACATTACTCATCGTAAGAAACTGGCAGAGACTGTTCAGGCAAATGGGTTCAACTGGCCTTGCACTCTCAAAGACTTCACTATTGATAAGAACAATTTCAAGGCCCTGAAGAAATTTGCAGCTGATATCAAGAAGCTCTACTAGATTGTTTCTTCCCTATAGTTGGTGATGGATTTTCAACTACCTATGGAACTGTGTTTATCATCTTGCATCTTTTGGTATCAGCTTAATTGGACTTAGCTACCTTTTATAGGTACGCTTTTGTGTCTACTTGTCTCCACTTATTGTATTCTCTGTGTCTATTGTCCTTACTTTTTCAGCTGTTTTGTAACCCGCGATTACATCTGACATTGTCGGTCAACTCCTACTGTTAACCTCTTTATACTGTGTAAATAATATATGTCTCTGTCCCACGTGTATTTTTGTATACTCCAAATTACTATTGCCGCGCCTACCAATCTTGTAATTATATTTCTATGTATGCAATTCTGTAATAATCCTATTGTTATTTTGTACTGTGTTATTATTTAATAAATGCGATGCAGGCGCCCACGGGTCCCATGACCCTGGCTACTTTTTCCCTCTATCCTATCTCACTTTACTTCTCCTTACTCTTACCCCTTCTTACACTCTCAACTCTTCCTCTTTTTCTAGTCTGAACATGGGCTATACCTCTGTGTGAGGCCCTTATCTTTCTCAGCACTGTACAAAAGATATATAGATGACATCATTATTTTCTGGAGGACAGCACCGAATCTAACACAGTTTGTCGATGCAATGAATGGCAATCCATATGGGCTGTTCATTGAGGTGGAATAACACAGCCCCACCAGGGTCCACTTCTTGGACATAGATATCAACCAAGTGCTATCTCCACTTATATTCCAATTGGGTTGTGTGATCCTTTTCCATACAAAATAGCAGCATTCAGGGCCTTGGTTAAGAGATTGTTCACACATTCTTCCACTCCACAAGTGCTAGCACAGGAAGTAAGAAGTATAGAAGAGATAGCCATGGTCCATGGTTACAACAATCTTATACAAAGATTATGTGAACAACACAGACATATGCAAGAAGCATCCACCAGTTCGACGAAAATACTGAAAGATAAGCAGGAAGAGGATAAGGAGAGGATCTGCCTCACAATTGCCAAGAGTCATTGGGTCAATATTGCCTACAGGAGATGCCCATCCATTTTCAACTTACTGCGTAATGGAAAAGACCATCCTAATCCCGACAGACTACCGGGCATTTATAGCATCCCTATCAGAGACAAAAGATGGGATAGGGAAATGCTGTATGTTGGCTCCACCAAATGTTCAATGGGGATCAGGATAAAGAAACATAAATCCGACATATGACATAATAGGGGTACAACGACCCTTTCCACTTATGCAACAGACCTGGATACTGGACCAGATTTCATTGAAGCCTGTATTTCCTTACCACCCCATACCCAGAACACCTCAAA